TGGGGACTAATAGGAGAGCTCATGTTAACAGTATCAGCGGACCGCAACCAAAACCAGCGTCAGCTACTTGGGTTTATAGAACTGGACGCGCCAGAGCTATATGATGCAATAGGAGTTACAAAACAATATGGTAGCATCCAGATTTCAATCTTTGGCATAGCCATCTTACCAAATTCCAACGATAGAGCTGCCATTGATAGGCCATGAAAATACCCCCGGTCTGATTCTCAGAGCCCAAATATTAGGTTTGGATGAGAATCCTAACCTGGCACCGGCTATCGAAAGTCAAGGCTCAAACTCTTCCGCTCATAACATGCTCCAGAAGATAGTATCAGAGGCACGCGCGGCGTTTGATGATTTCTGCCAGTATGGGCATATGACAAGCCTGGATCAAGCTATTTCACAATTTCAGACTGTACTTCAGGTTCCCAAGCCGCTGAAAGCGGCTCATAAGAGCACCACTGAGGTTGTTTCGGATCCCGGGATGGCTGGGATCATTTTCTGACGTAATTTCTGCCGCTAGTCGATGCTGTGAGATGGAGTTATCGATGTCAGCTAACCTCCCAAGTCGCCTGAAGCGGATATGAAGAGCATGACCGTAACTGTTCAAAAAGCTGGGGTCTTGAGGACAGCCATCAACCGCGGCTTTTAATCGCAAAATTGCCATGTCAATGTCCCCAAGGTCGCCGGCGAGCTCAAATCGAGATGTTAAAGAGGTCCCAAGGTTGCATAGTCGATCGAGCTTGCCTGGATGATCATCTGGTGTCAGATCCACGGCGGCTTGCTGTAATAAAATTGCCCTTTCAATGTCAGCTAAGCTCCCCGATCTTTGCGAGCGGTCTTTCAAGAACATCCCAAGGTTGCTTAGACAAAGTGGCTTTTTTGGATGTCCATCTGGTATAAGGTCGACTGCGGCTTGTTGTAGTGAAATCGCGTAATCGATATCGTCAATATTACCAACTCTCTGAAAACGATCCTGAAGACATCCTCCCAGGTCGTGCAAATACATGGGCTTGTCGGGGTGCTCGTTTGGTGTGAGATTGACGGCAACTTGTATCCTTGAAATGGCCTGATCGATATCAGCAATATTTCCGAGTCGCTGAAATCGCCTCTGAAGAGAAGTCCCAAGGTTACTCAAGTAACCAGACTTGTCAGGATGACCATCTGGAGTAAGATTGACGGCTGCTTGTAGTTGAATGATTGCACTGTCAATATCAGCAATGTCGCCGAGTCGTTC